TATATATATGTGTGTGTGTGTGTGTGTGTGTGTGTGTGTGTGTGTGTGTGTGTGTGTGTGTGTGTGCGTGTGTTGGGGGGGTGGCAAACATGTAAGAGGGCAACAAATAAATTATATTACATCTATAATAGAAGAAGGACACGTGCAAAAACTGCAACTGATTCACATGAGTTATGAAGAACATGTCACCTGCAAGAGTATCATGCTCTAACACACGTTGTATACTGTTGCCGGCGAAAAGGGCATAAAGCGACAACATGCACTTCTATGCTTACTTACCACTCATTGGATATGTTTCGCTTCAGTTCAACCCCTAGCGACCCATAGTCGTACACTCCCCGGAGAGGTGCAAATTGAGAGCCCGTCTTAAACAGGAAACCCCTCCGACTGCATAAACTCAACACCTTGGAAAACACATCCTCGACTTCGCGAGAACATTTATCGGAGCTTGTCTCAGTAACATATGAAGCCTTGCTAATCTTGAGAGGTAAAGATACTTTCCATCGCCGCAAAGTTGCTCTACTGTACGTCCTTTGACGTACTATATGAACCCCCATCTCGTGAACAGCTTCTAGTGTAGATACTAGAGCACACGTACCTTCATTCATATTTCATTTACACATACACTTGTATTTCACTGAAAGACCATTCACGGAATCTTGGTCAAATTCATACTCAACCCTACAACCCAAAACCTTAATATCTTGTCAGATATCGAATGTTCGGTACCACGATACTATTCAGTTCGGCGGCAAAATAATCAAATCACATATATATTCAAAATCCACGTGCATGTATTGACATTCATGTCCAGCACGCTAACAACCATGGGTAAGGGTAAACGAAAAGGTAACCCTGAGGGCGCCAAACCTGTATCGATTACAGGAAGTATGTCTAATACAAGTGAGAAAGCTATTGCTATCTCTGAGGAAGCCAAGGAAAGTAAGCAGACAGCTCGAGAGATTAAATTTGGACGTCGACTGGCGAATTCGGACAAGCGATTGCGTGATAAAGCAGTTAATAAGTTGAAGTTGTGGTTGGGAACTCAGGAGAATCTGAGTGACCTAGAAAGCCGTAAAGTATGGAAGGGTCTGTATTACTGCATCTATATGTCGGACAAACCGCTTGTCCAGGAAGAGCTGGTGAGTGTTGTGTCGCAACTAGTGCATTTGATCAAGCAAGATAACGATGCGCTGAAGTTTATCGACGCCTTCTTCTACATAATGATCTCGGAATGGAGCCGAATTGATCGTTTAAGATTAGATAAGTTCTATATGCTAGTGCGAGAGTGTCTGCTGCAGTTTTTCGTTTGGTGCGAAAACCGAGACTTCGATATGGAGATTGTGAAGCAGTTTGTAGAGCTGTTGAACGATTCGGTATTAGAACCTTCTTCGCCGACCGTGCCCAAGGGTTTAAAATGGTTTGTTATGGAAAAGTTTCTGGTTCAGCTAGAGAAGGTCTTGCCACCTCCCGCTGATATTTCGGGAGATGGTGATGGTGATGATGTTAAGGAAGAGTCAGTATACACTGACGAGACAATGATGATGTATTTGCAACCTTTCTATCACTTACTTGCGTTCGAGACGGACAAGATAACCCGAGCAAAGGTGAAGGAGTATGTGTTTTCTGTATTAATCGAGAAGGAAGCCGAAGTGCTTGCAAAACTCATGGAAGAAGATAGCGACTCAGAGGAAGAGAGTGAGGACGAGGAACCGCAACCACCCTCGTTTCAAGTAGATTGGGACGGTTTGTCTAAACTCTTGTTTTTACTAGCGGCGAAGAAAGATATTGCGGATATCAATCGACGCGAGTTGTATACCCTCAAGGCAGATGTGGACAAAGTAGTGCTGAGTATAAAAGAGCTGGGCCAACAATTATTTGCGGACATGGAAGATGATGATAATGATGACGATGAAATGGATGTGGATAATGACCAAGAGGACGACAGCGAGGATGACAGTGCCGACGGTAGTGCTAACGATATTGAAATGACTGGGTCTGGTAGAAAAGTTAAAAAGGTAAAGGTCACGGAACATGCGGACTTGCTGCCGAGTGAGAGTGATGATGACGACTATGAAGCGGTTGAAGTTTCTAGTGAAAGTAGTAGCGAAGAGTCCGATGCCCAGGACTCAGCAGAGGAGTCAAAGGTGACGGAGTTAGAAGAGATTGTTGCCACAAAAGAAGTAACAATTACTTTGCCTGCGCCCAAAATTAGTAGGAAGCGAAAGAGGGAAGAAAACCGTATCACCCCACCGGCTGCGACTATAAATTTCCAGGTTTGTGTTTATGTATATACACTGCGCTGTATACGTCTTTGTGGATGAATGTGCTCATAATAATGTCGGTCTTTCCTGTATAAGTTTGGCGTTAATTCATTCGAGTGGCGATTGGCGGACAGGAGAACATTTATTTTAAGCACTATTTTCGTAATTATGGAAGATGTCCGTTCGTACTCAGACAATGTGTGATAGATGTACGTAAATTGTACCAAACATCAGTATCGTATGGTGCAGCACCGCTCTAGTGTACTGCTACCGAAACTGTAATGTGGGCTAGCCCGGGAGATTAGAGTACTGTTTCATTGCAAGCGAATTCATCTCTGATATATTATAGTAGCTGTCCTTTATCTGTGTATGGGGCATGTGGCAATTTCAACTGCCTATATTTCTCTGCTTTGTCTCTCACTCATACCTCTGGGCATAGGCTATTTTGATGGGTCAGGAATCGATTCAACTATCGTAGCTTACACGTACAGACCTTATTTCTACAGCACAAGCACGCGACGGAGGAGCCCAAAAGGAGCAAACCTTTTATGGACTTCAAGGTTCCCTCATCAGAACCGCATAAGCGACGAGTGGTGATTTCGGAAAATAGTAACAAGGTCAAAGGTATGTGAATATTGGGAATGGAATTATGATTCCTCTGAATATATCGCTTGAGCGACAATTGGACTCGTGCGTGGTGACGAGCAAGCAAAAGCTGGTGGCTATTTCCCGGACCTTTTCGCCGAATCGTGTTATACTTGTCAACTACTTCAAAGAATATGTAGGTCTTCACAGAATTGCGTCTCTAAGTTTTATTTGTTATTCGATCTGCGTACGACATCACAGAATTCGACAAACGTTCAAGGGTTGCGTCCAATAAGAAACCAGTTTACGATCCTCTGAGGCAGCCACCGCCCGGTGTTTTAAAACCGTCGCCGTCGCCAAGTCTAATGCAAACAGAACGCGATCGAGGGACACCCAGGTCCACACCCGTACGTCGCAACAAGAAGAGCAAAAAGCAGTAAACTGTTGACATAAATGCAGTAATCGATAATCTGTGCATGCACGTACCTGGCGTGGAATAAATCATGTAAATGTGTACTTTTAGAATAGTAAAGTTCTTCTGCACTCTCACGATTGTCTCACTTGTGTTCAAGGCAATCTTCCAGAATATTGCCAGAATATGTTTACAAAGTACCAAACTATACATACACTTTTGAACTTCTTACCACACTTTTCAGTGAGGGTATCCTCCTTCGTCCTGATCACTGTCTGACACTATATAAAGACCATTAGCAATCAAACCAATAGACAAACCCTTGTATTGATGTTTCGGGGTTCAGTACAGCAACAAAACAAATATGATACCATTTGAATTGCCTGGGTGTGTCGCTCTCGGAAGCAGGCTACAAGAAGTGTCGCAAATTTGGTGACATATACTATAGTAAGATCCCCTACTGTACGTATCATGTACTTCAGGTCAATTTAAGCAATCGATATCGGTCAGATTTGAATAACTTTTAATTCACGCGGGGTTGGCAAACATATATCATATGCTTCAGTTCAATTTAATACATCGATATTGGTCAGATTTGAATAAAGTTTGATACATGCGGGGTTTGCAAACATATATCATGTACTTCAGGTCAATTTGATGCATCGATATCGGTCAAATTTGAATAACTTTTAATTCACGCGGGGTTTGCAAACAAAGTATGTTGTAAAGAACTCCTATCCATCATGAACTATTTTCAAAAAAGCGGAAAGGCCGGTGAGAAACTCGAATTACTTGCTCTCTGGCTTAGGAAGACTAGCAAGGTTGCCTCCTCCCTGGACGTGCTCGAATGTGTTTGCGAAGTCGAACTGTCTGAACTCCTGCTGCATCTCAACAGGCTCAGAAACAACACGTTTCGCCTCTTCGTCGTACCGAACCTCTGTGTATCCAGACAAGGGGAAATCTTTACGAAGCGGGTGACCTTCGAAACCATAATCTGTGAGGATCCTTCGCAGATCGGGATGGCCGTTGAAGAAGACCCCGTACATATCCTGAATAGACGAGAATATTGCAATGAACAGATAAACGGGATGTATTGATACAATATGGCGAGTGACACGTTGGGCCGTTGAAATGTTTCGCCTCACGGAAATAATACAAATGCTGAGCATTATTCGGACCGACAATCATTTTTTATGCGAATTTACATAGCTACCACATGTGCAATGACATCCGCAAACAAACTATGGAACTGTTTAAATATGAATACATAAGAAGCAAGAATGGTTTCAGCATCTCCCCTCTACCGAATCTATATGACAATTGCACTTATGTTTTCCACTAATGTGTCCTGACAACACAAAGAACAATCGATACACCACAGCATCTATGAGTCCTTTGACCCTATTAATTGACTTACCCAAACTTCTCGCTCCATCCAGTTTGCCGCTTTGAAAATGGGTTCGATAGAATCGATGGGATTTACCTCATCCGTGTAAGTCTTAACGAAGATTCGGGAATTGTATCGAACGGAAAGTAGGTTATATATAACCTCGAAGCGGTTCACGCGAGCTGGGACGTCCATTCCGGCGATGTCGATGAGCGATTTGAATTGCGCATTGGAGTGATCCTTCAGAAAGGTCAACACCGGGACAACACCTTCAGGATCGATCATGATCTATTGGTCGAAATGGTGGAACAATGAGCAAATGAATTCTCATGCTTGATGTAGTATCGTGTAGGTAATTCGTACTCATCAGAGCACCAACACAAATTATCCAGATATGTTACCAAGATATGTTTATAGCATAGTCATTCATTCGTAGAGCAATACAAACATCTCATGTATGCGAATATCGCAAACGTATATGGGTTTACATGTAGCAACATGCTCAGACAGAGCGGCCATAGATCATTAACGCCGTTCAGACACATAAAGATGATCCGCGCTCGACACAAAAGTATAGTTCGAACTACACTCAATTTGTTCACAACCAAACTCACCGCTAGATCGTTCTTCTGAGAGACATGTGCCTCCTGAATGTATCTAGGAAGCATCTCGGTAAGATAATCGGCAAAAGCACGAAGTTCTGCATTCTTTTCTTGATGTGCTGCATCACCTATACAATATTAGAGAAAACCAACAAGGTTTTTCAACATCGAATATGAATCCTTCAAAATTTTCAACATTACGAAAAAATTTAAATAAGAATATATATATATATATATATAGCATACATATATATGC